GCGTGCGGGGGTGGGGGGTGGGGGGGGGGGGGGGGGGAGGCACTGAGGTCCATAGTCCTTTGGGGTAAGAGATGTATAGAAGGAGTTATTGAGGTCACAGACCCCAGCAGGGCAGAGGTTCTGAGGTTCAGACAGGGGAGGGGGGTTCTCTTCTTGATGTTTCAGAGAAGAGGGGTTTCATTCCATATAGTTGATAAGCAGTCCACAGCACAGGCCTGCGCCAGGCTGCCCCTGATTTCCGAGAGGCAGAGGGAAGAAAGGGTGTCCTGTCTTCCTAGGGGAGGACTGCATGACCCTGAGAAGGGGGAGGGGCACATTTAGTCAAGGAGTGCCCAATACACAGATGGGTGTGTGTGGCCACCTGTAGCCCTCTGGTGTCTTGGAGTCTGGTACCCTGGGCCTGCAGACTTCCTTGGGGCAGGGGGGTGGGGAATCTATTCTTCTGGAATCTGGGCACCTGGGGGTCGGTTATAGGGTTACAGATTCATGGAGGAGTTCCTGGTAGGGGACTTGCCATTTCCTTTACAGCATCTGTGAGAGGAAGGCTGCAGCAGGTGGAAAGGCTGGTGTTCTAAGTCCTCTCTGCTCTACCCCCTGCCTGTGGGAAAGGATCTTGTGAGGAAGGCAGACCAGGGAAGAGGCCTGGGTAGAGCCTGTTGCCTGGGTCAGGGGACCTGGCGTGAACCTGAGTATAGAAATCATTCATAGCAGGCAGCTGTGCCTGGGTGGGGCCCCCCACCCTCCCTACTCCTGTGACCAGCAACCACTCTGTGGCTCTTTCTATCTGGTCAGGCCAAACTAGAAACTGTCAGTGTCCTTGTGGACAGTTGATTGAAACCAGTGTAGGTCAGTGTAGGCTGTGGGGGATTGGAGTGTCCTGGGAGTGCTTGGCTAGTATGGATTCCTGGATTGTGGGTGTGATGACTTCAAGGGATTGTTAAACTGAAGACATGGAACTTGTGCATTTTTTTTTTCCTGTCTCTGTGTCATACTTTAACAAAGTAGAGCCATGCCCAGGCCCATGGGAAAAGGCCAGGGACTGAGTTCAGCCTGCATCCCTCAGTTTGGACCCCAGCTCTGCAGGTTGGCTTATGTTTATCTAGGTGGGCTGGAAGTTGTTCACTAGGAGACATTGGTTAGTTTCCTCTGTGAAAGACTTAACAGTGTCTCCCTCAGTGGGGACACAAACCTCTGCAGGGCACAAAGACTACCTGAAGCTCTGCTGCCCATATGCATAATGCCAGGGGCTGGGGCCTCTAGGGCGCCACCTGTTCCTAGCACCACACTGCCCCCTGCTGGTCAGGCCCGCATTGTTCTTCCTTGGACTGTGGACTGGGTTCCTAAATCTCAGGGGCCATTTAGGGAACGAATTAGCTGCCTGGAGTTTCCTCTCATGACAGCATCTCTGATGGATTCCCAGAGAGGCAGAGGTGGACCATGAACACAGGCACAGCACGCACACACCCTTCCAGTAGGAGGGGACAGCAAGGGGAAGGGGGATGGGGAGTCATGTGTGGCCTCTGACATAGCCCTAGATCCCTGGTTCCTTCACATTTGGGTATAGGGGTGGGGAAGGCACTGAGGGCCCCAGGCAGCCCATCAAGGCTCTCTCCTCCAACTTGGCTCTGGGGAGCACCTGATGCCCACCAAGGAGACAAACAATGGCAGACCTGTCTTTGGTCCTATGACATGACAGTGTCATGTTCACATGGCAATGTGCCTTCCTTCTCAAGAGAAACCTCAGTGTAGGCACATGGGACGAAGGGGAGGGGCTCGAGCAGCTCTCTAAAAAAGCAGCTATCTCCTGGGAGCAGCCACTATCCTAGATCCTGAGCACCTGGGCTTGGATCGCTGGGTTCATCTTCTGGTTTTCTGGAAGGAGAGGGACCATCTCCTCTGTTAAGTTCCACACAATCACTTTGCAAAGCAAACAGGACCCATAAGGTCAAGGCGAGGTGGAGAATGAGACACAAACTGGGGCTGCCGTTGGTGGTGTCCATGACGATGTTGGGTCACAGAGAGCTCCCTAGGCTCTGCTCTTGGTGTCTAGCTTACACAGACTGCTGCTAACAGCTTTGGGCTTCTAACCCAAGCTCCTGCCTTGGGCTGTCACCTTCCCCAGAAGCTAACATAAGAGGAATGCCCAGTTCTGAGTGGGAAACTCTGGAACTAAGAGAGAGGCGTAAACCTTTTCTCTTTATTATTTTTGTGGGGGGCAATCATACCACAGTGCACATGTGGAGGTCAGAGGACAGCTCTATGGAGTCAGTTTTCTCCCTACACTTTTATATGGGTTCCAAGGCTAGAACTCAGAGCATCAGGACGGCACAGCCAGCACCTTTATCTGCAGAGCCATCATCACCCCTCCCCTTTCTCTTTGTAAGTTAACTGCTTCAGGCATTTCACTAGAGTAATAGGAACTGACTAACTTATCCTCCCAGAGAACCTGGCAGGTCACTTTTGGGACCATGACATAATCAAACAGGAAGATGCATGTGCAAGGCCTCAGCACACTGGCAGCTGTAACAAAGCATCAGGGGCTGGATGGTTTATAAACAACAAAAATATTATTTTTTGCTTTTCTGGAGTCTCAAAGACTGAAATCATGGTGCCAGCACAGTCGGCACTTTTGGTGTGGTTGGGACGCGTGGGAGCATGTCAGGCCGCTTTTCCAAACTGTCCCTAGCCTGAGTCACTGTCCCAGCCTTTCCCCTGGGGGCAGGAGTGTCCTGACCACAGTCTCCAAGGCACATGTGCTCACCCTGCAGCCCTGTGCTCATTTTATTCCCTGTAATGCAGCTCTCTATTTCTACCCCACTTTTTGTGTGTGTATACGTACATGTTCATGTGTGCATGTTCATGTGTGGGTTGCATGTGCACATGTATGTATGTGCATGTGTTGGGGCTTGGGAGATGCTTGCAGCTTCCAACCGGAAGTTGGAGGGCCAGACTGGAAAGCTCTGGCAGACCATTCGGCAGCAGCCCTACAAGCGTAGGTTGCCATGGTGGATAACGTTATTTGTGCTGTCTATGTAAACAGGTCCGGCATCCTGAATAAATGTTCACTGTGAGCCTTCCTTTGCAGGAGCCAGAGAGGTTAGGGGTCAAGTGGAAAATCCCAGAGAAGGCAGGTTTGGGAGACCTCAGCAGACAGCTATGTAAGCAGGCTGGCCTGTCAGGAACTTCTAAGGATCCTATCACGGCCCCAGGTCTCATCCTTTTCCTCTCTACCTCTTCCTCGCCTCCAGATGCACACATGGCTCCAGTGATCTGATAAAGGAAGCCACTGACCTAACAGGCACCAAAGGGGGGCTGCCTGCTTCATCCGGCCTCACTCACTTGCTTCTTAGCCGATTCCTGTCAACTTGTCCAGTTATAACCTCATGTATGGGGAAGTTACCAGTATGCCATCTTTGGGGTGAGCATTATGGGGGCACAAGGGAGAGCCAGAAGGGGTATTTGCCCTCAAGGGGAAGGCAGGTCTGTCCCCAGGAGATGGTATAGCCCAGCAACTCAGAGTATCAGGCTCCAGGACAGGGGAAGCTGTGCTTGTTGACACACTGATTTCTCAGCAGACCCCATGTGGATTTCTGCCCCAGGAAACCTGTCTTGTTTATCCCTTTCAAATCAAGATGGCTCAGGAACAGGAATACAGCATGCAAACATATGTGTTTACATGATAAATTTGCATAAGCACTGGCGGGCAGGGTGGAGCTGGGGAGTTGGGGATGTTCTTTTGGCCCAGGCTTGACAGCTGTAGCTGATTAAAATGCAAGTTTAGCAGTGCTAGGCTGTAGACACTGCCTTTACTGGGGGAAAAATATTGTAAATGGCCTTTTCTATCCCTCCCAAATGCTGGGCCTGGGTCTTGAGAACATAGTCCACACCACAGCAAGAAGGCCTTGGCCACCTTCATAAGAAACAAGATGAGAGGGGGACCCAAATCCCTGGCAGAGTGGGTGCCAGGGAGGAGGTGCATGTTATAGAGCCGGGAAGGTGGCAGGAACAGATAGGCTTGGGACAGAACTGGAGTCACTTCCCAGTTCCTTTGCTACCTTAGCCCACCCCTCAGCCTGTCTTCAGAGTCTACACACCTCTACTGAGCACCAGTCCTTGCAGGGACACACGGATGATGTCCCCGGCCTCTAGGGCTCCCCATCCTGATGTTCCAGGCTCCTTCCAACAAGCTGCATTTCACTACCCACTAACCCCATGTCTGCTTTGACCTTCGGACTCCAGCAGCCCTGTTTCTGGCACCGTACCCCACAGAGCCGCCACCCCTCCAGACACTATGCAAAACAGGGTCCTGCCTCCTGTCCACATCTTCAGTGACTACACTGCCTTCCCTTGTTGCGCTGGTGGTGCCCGACACCTCAGAGAGCCTTGCTGGGCTTTGACTGGCTTCCCTGTGGCTCACTTACGGGTGGCAGCAGGCAGGGGCAGTTAGGCTCTGGTCTATCGTCTTGTAGGACATCCCCCAAAGTCAACTCAAGAAAAAGCTGCAAGTCAGATTTCCAGTCCTGATCACCAGTTACAGGCCTTGGGTAAGAAACCCCGTGCCTCAGTTTCTCCACTGTGGGGATTACAAGTTTGAGCCACCACACCTCTTAGTGCCTCTGTTAGTGTATGAACGAATGTGACTTCAGCTGTATACTTGGTGTTCCTTGAAGATGTACTGGGCGGCCATTTGGGTGTCATTCGTTCATTCATTCATTCACTCACTGAGCACCTGCTGGCTATTTTCTGAGTCAGGGACACTGCCAGGTGCCAAGAGTGGAAAGTTGAGGGCAATAAACTTTGCCCTCAGAGGGTGGGTGCAGGTGTAAGGAAAACTGCATGCAGCATTTGCCTTTGGTCTCAGGTATGGCAATAGAGATCTACCCTGCCTCAGTAGGGCAGGAGCACCCATGGAAGGGACCCCAGGGATGTGGCTTTCAAAGATAAGCAACGTCTTAGATACTTTCTGTTGCTGTGATAAAACACTCTGACCAAAATCAGCTTGGGGAAGAAAGGATTTATTGCATCTGACGCATCCAAGTGACAGTCCATCTTTGAGGAAACTCTGTGCAGGAATCTGGAGGTAGGAGCTGAAGCACAGACCATGCAGGAACACTGCTTACTGGCTTGCTCTTCGGGCCTGTGTTCTTATACAACCCAGGACCACCTGCCCAGGGTGGCACTGCCCACAGGGGGCTGGGTTCACCTACATCACTCAGCAGTCAAGAAAATGTCTCACAGACACGCCCACAGGCCAGTCCAACGGGGGAAATTCCCCAGTTAAGGTTCCTTCTTCCCAGGTGTGGCAAGCTGACACCGGACACCAACCCTGACAAGCAAACCGTACTCTTCATATAACAAAAGATGAGAGACAGACACAGAGTTAAAGCTTTTTTTCTTTTTAATTATTGTAATAGAAAGTGATAATGAGAGCAAGAAGCTAGCATAGAGAGGCTTTACCACCACATCTTCCACCTTTGAAGGTTACATACTTCTCATCAAAAGAGCACACTGAGATCTTACATCAAGAAAGAGCCTTTCCACTATAGTAGAAGCCAGCGACAGGATGGGGGAACCGGGCACCTGGGCAGTGAGGGCCTGAAGGTTAGTTAAAATACTTTCATGTCATGTACATGTGTTTACAAGCCAACTATGAAAATGTCAGTAAGACACATCTCTGCCAATGCTCTTGGCATGAAGAACTGGAGTCTGCAGGAAAACAAGGAACTCCAAAAAGTTTAGACAGTAGAAAGTGTTATGCTCTGGGGAGCAGCCCTGGGAGACGCAGACAGGGTCAGAAAGGAGACCTAAATTTGAGGAGACATTGCTCTTCAGCCTCCCTGGCCCCCATCTGAAGCTCTCCCCGATCTGTGCTCCTCAGAGGCACTGGCAGAGGCTGGACCCTGGTAGTGATCCTAGACATACAATCACTGGTCGGGGTTCAGCCTCAGTGTTCTGGCCACTCTGTGGGTTTTCTCCAGGCAGGCAGGGGTCTTCCTGAAAGCCCCAAGCAGTGGAAACAGCCACATGGGTTTCCAAAGTCCAGTCACCTGCTGGGGGTGTCTCAACTTGGGCAGCCAATGAGATCACTGCTCCAATTTTCTCTGCTCAGCTTGGCAACTTATACAAGGCAAGTGGCGCTTTAGGAACCCCCGTGACTGTGACTCGGCACAGCCTAGTGGAGGTTTCCTATGGCACTGTTGACACTTGGAGACTGGATAATGCCCCTTCACACGTCTGTCCTGTGTTGCAGGGTAAGTGGCACCTCTGGCCTCCACCCACTAGATGCCAGCAGGTCCCCACTCCTCTGCAAGTTGTGACTACAGGAACTCTCCAGGCATTGCCAAAAGTCCCCTTGGGGAACAAAAGCACCTGAAGTTAAGAACCACAGGACTCTGTGGTTGGGTGGCCTGGGTGGGCAAGACCTTTCTCCTGTTGACGAGCTCCACCTGCCGATGTCCTCAAACCCACTGGAGACCGGGCTTCCTCAAAGAGAAAGGCTGAAGAGCTCTTGCTGCCATCCTGCAGCGCCCTCCACACGCAGGCCACTGGCAAGTTCAAAACTGCTCACCTCCAACTGCTTTGGACTAAATAGTGATCCTCTGGTTCCCTATCAGCCCCATCCAACCCTTTGACATTGCAACTCAAGTATAGCACCCAGAAAGTTCTCACTAAAGAGCTGAGTAACTGACTACAACAATCTCATGATGTGCTGTTTACGGCTTTGTGTTGGGCCTCAGCAACATGTACAGTCTGTGGGACTAGATGATTGGAAAAGGATTCAGGAAGTAGACTCAGGAACATCAGGCTACTCCACCACATAGCCAGAGGACTCCATATGGAACCAGGGCTCTGGCACGCCCTGTGTACAAAGCACACACATTCCTTGCATGCTGACCATGTATCTGCTGGGACCTATCCCTACGAAAAACCAGGTCTCAAAAGGTTTGGGAAGGGTTTGGGACAGGTGCTCACGGACCAGGACGTCTGGGCTCTAGCTGCTCCCCCCAGCACCTGAGCAGAATTCCTGCCTCCCTATGATGGTAACACAGCCAATCCCTGGGCATGCTCCGAGGCCGCCCAATGGCATCCACAGTGTGTAATGAAGGTGGCCCAGTGACAGGGAGTGGAGAACACCGTCACGTCTCAGGGGCTCACTGTTAATCCAGGGACCTTCCCCATGCTTCCTGGTGCACACACAGAGCAGTGAGTGCCCCGGGACTCTGCAGCTCTCCACTGATTCTACAGTGGGGACGTTCCAATCAGGTGCTCTCTATAGCCCTTGTTGCTCTGATGTTCTGAGATTAAGAATGCCTGCTGCTGGCCCCCTTCTGCACTTAACAATACAAATCTCTCCAGTGCCAAGGCAGGCTCCAGCCTCAGAGGCCCCCACCCCCACCCCAGGACAGCCAGTTCCAGAGGACTCATGGTGCAGGTCTCAATCACACATGCTCCCTAGCCCTGTGCTCTGGCATACAGCCTGTCCTGTTTCCGCAACTAAAAACAAATGGAATAATCCATGTGCACCTGTCAGCTCCCTCACACCTGCCCCCGGGGGGCACCTTCTACATGCAACTAGAAAACCCTAATTTGGGTCCCTCCTGGAAACCTACTGGGAGATCAGAGGCCAATCTTAAATAAATGGGGGAGGGGGAAGGCATCGGGGTCTCCTACCTCTAGAGTACTGAGGTTGCCCCATTCTGATGTCCAAGACCTGTGGATGGTCCAGGCTGTGGACCTGAGGAAGCATCCCCTATAGATTCAGGTCCAGTTTAAATGTACCTTGGTGGGGGCGTCCAGCCCCAGAAGGCTATGTGGTGCCGTAGAAATTATCAGCTGCAGAACCCAGCTTGCCAGGTTCCACTCCTAGCTCCTTACTTCCACCCTGTGAGGCTTCAAGAAAGTTACTCCATTCCTCTGAGCCTCTGGCTTCCTTTCTGTGAATCAGAACACTGGTGCAGTGAGGTGATGTAAGGATGAAAATCTAGTACTGTGCCTGGATACAGTTCTCAAACAATGAAGTTCAGTACTCAAAAACTGAGGTTAAGTACTCAAACACAGGTTCAGTACTCAAGCACTGAGCTTAGACCTATTTCTTCCCTTACCTGAGAGCCAAGATAGAACCCAGCTGGGCAGGAAGGTGAGCACAGCTCGCTCTGGCTAGAATCTATCATTTACTGATTGTTATTTGTGATGGAGGTGGGCAGATAAGGAAACTTCAGGAGTCAAAGAAGGAAACACTGGGATCAGTTGAAGTCTTGTAGACAAGAGGCCGTCCAATGCACCTGACTATCTAGAGCTCTGACTCGGGAAAGCAGCAGAGATTTTAACATAGAGGTTAATTGGTGGGGGCATCTGGGGGAGAGTACCACCTATTTCTGGGCTTCAGCTCCCCTGAGGAAGAAGTACAAAAAGGAGGGGGTGCATCAGAGAATTCTGGGACACAGATGCCATCTCAGACATCCGAAGCATTCCTGGCCCCAGCCCTGCCTCTGACCTCTTTCCCTGGTTCTCTCCTGGAGAATCCATCCCCTTGCTCCAAGACTGGGGTATGACGAGGGTCCTGCTGGAGAGATAGGAAGCCAAGGGCAAACAGCCAGCAGCCCCTGCCTCCAGCACACAACAGCTAATTGCCAGCCCAGCATACTGCTCTGCTGATGATTTCAGGGGTCCTAGTAGACGCCCTATGTTCCTTCTGCTTGGCTACAAAGGTTAGACCAGCTCTCACACTCAGCCTTCCCTGGAGCCGAAGAATTTGCAGATCTGCTGGCTAGAGCGACAGATGTGGGGAGTCAGAGCTGGTGGCTGTTCATGGCATGGTGTGTCTGGTAATCTTATCAGTCCGCAGCTGGCTGAGCTGGACAATTTAGAAGAATTTTTTTCCTGTCACCAAGAACTCATATTTCCTAAGACCAGTGGCACGTTCAAGATTCTTGCAATTATCCCCAAACACAAACAGGGCTTCTTAACCCTTTTATGTTTTACAGAGAGGGGGAAGGGAGGGAGGAGGACACTCTGAACCTGGGGCAATCCTGCCCCTTGTTGAAGCTCCTCTCACAAAGTGGGGGTGAGGTTCCACATAGAGCTGTTTCCTTTCCCAGGGAAAGAACAGTGCAGGCTCCCTTCCCAACTCTGGTCCCCCAGTGCTGATCTTCAACCCAGAGCATCCTTGTTTGCCAAGGCCCCAGCCACCACTGTGAAACAATTTAAGGAAACTGACTCGACAGGAAGCACATTGGACCTGGGAGAGCACAATATCTAAAGTTAATGACCTATGGAGCACTGTCAAGACCCCCTGGTGATTCCTTCCCTGCCTTGCTGAGGTGGGGACTGGCTCAATAGAGCTTGGCTAGGGTGGAGAGGAGACTCAGTCGAAGGAAATGCTTTGCTATTCTGACTCCTTCGTTACCCAACCACAGGCACATCACGCCCCTCTCCATGACATCCCGTCCAATAATGAAGGGACAGGGCTATAACTCATCTTTAAATCCCACAAGTCCTCAGAGAGAAGAAAGGGTGACTTCACTTGAGTAGTGAAGGACCTGCCAAGAGGACCTACTTTTTGAAGACATCATCTCCTCTTCTTTCAAAGATCAGAAAGTTCATCCAGCAAACAGCCCACTACCTGGTTCCTGGGTTTTCTGATGCACTTGGGTCTGGTAAGGGACCAAGTGCCTAGTGACAAAGTACCATTTATAAGTCAGTTTAACAACATTCTGTGACACTACGACATCAGCATCAATATCCCCAGGAGTGGGACATGAAATCAAGATGGGCGAGACTCTAACCTGAAGGCTCCACTTGCCCCAGGACCCATATACCAGGTTCAATAAGCTTGCAGAAAAGTAAGTCACACAAATGATTATTTACCAGATCATCATCAAAACAGGTCTACTATTGAAACCTAGTTCAACTCGGTCTTGTGTTCTGGAAGTGAAGTTTCCACAATTTTCCAATCTGCTGTTCAAAGTCCTTGACCCACCAAGACCCTGTCAGCTGGAAGCCCCAACGTCTAGGTGTTTGGAATCAGCTCAACTACAACATGGCATATTCAAACTCAGAGCTGTCTGGGAGCAATTCCGGATGCACGAAGGCTGCCCTCGGAAAGGCCATTCAAGGGGTCAGAACTCTGGGTCTAGAACATGGATACAGCCAGCAGCCAGCAGTAAGACCCAGCCATCTGGAAAGCCTTGTGGGGTAAGCCCGGTTCAAGAGGGGCTGTCCTGCAGCCACAACATCCCTGTGCCCTCAGAAAGTGAAAGCATACACCACCCCCACCACCACGATGTTCCCCAGTGTCGCTATGATGGCAATCCACAGCAGGACGGCATCGTTGGAGGAGCGGGGAGACTCCTCTGGCTGGCTGTAGCCATTGGAGGCGGTGTGGATGTTGGCAGAGGAGTTAAACAGGGAGTACTCAGTGCTGAAGTCCTCATTGGGCGAGTCCATGAACGCTCCTCCCATCATGGGCAGCTGCAGGGAGAAAAGATAGAATCAACCAGGACTGCCTGGCAGGGAAGACCCAGCAGCTTTGCAAGACACTGCAGCCCACAGCGCAGGTGCAGATGCATAGGGCATTACTGTAGTGTAACTCTGCACGTTTTAACTCATGAATGCAAGGGTTTCCAGCTGGCTGTGCTGGCTCACACCTGTAATCCCAGCATTTGGGAGGCTGAGACAGGAAGATTGCAAGTTTAAAGCCAGCTGATGCTACGTGTCTCCAAAAACCCAAACCCAAACCAAACAGCAAATTCAACCTTTATGACAGACACTCCTGTGTCCATTTCACACAGGAAGGCTTGAAGGACCTCACCCACAAACCCCCACCCCCATGCCAGCCCCTTCCACAAGCACATGGGTTACAAAATATCTGTATTCCTTTTCTATTTTTTTTTTTTTTTTGGTCTTTTTCAGTCTCCCTGTAGTGGGGCTGTCCTGGAACTCACTATGTAGACCAGGCTGGCCTGAACTCAGAGACCCGCCTGCTTCTTCCTCCCAAGTGCTGGGATCAATGGCGCGCGCCACCGCACCCGGGTCCTTTTCTAATTAAAAAAAAAAAAAATACACTCAACAAAACCCATGCCTGGTCAGGTGTGGTGACTCATGCCAACAGTGCCAGGGCTTAAGAGGCTGAGGCAGGGGAATCACACATTTAAGACCAGTCAGGACTACATATGGAGATCCTGCCTCAAAACACCAAGAACAAATAAAAGTAGTCAAAACATAAACATGGCAACAAATGTGGACCATCATACATTTATTTAGTCTTATCAGTGTTAACTTGTTCTTTCTTTTTTCTGTGTGTGTGTGTGTGTGTGTGTGTGTGGTGGGAGGTGGTAAGAAAAGAGGTTTAAATAGGTGAAGATCTGCCTAAGACCAATCCAGTCAGTGTTCTATGTCAGAGTGGGAAAGGGGGTGGGAATTGGAGAGACAGCTCAGTGAGCCAAATCAACCCTTTCCTCCCCAAGTTGGTTTTGGTCAGGCTGTTTTATCACAATAGAAAGCTAACTAGGACCCGCCCCCTTTGTAAAAATAAAACAAAATCTTAATTTATTGTGTAATTTTTTTTTCTTTCTTTCTGAGCATGGTAATAGAGATCGTGGGCCTGGTGTTACCCATGGGATCATATCCCTAACCCTTTAATATTTACTTTTTCTAAATTTCCTTGGTGTATGTGGGTGAATAAGTGCTATGGTGTGCATGTGAGGTCAGAGGACAACTTGAAGGAGCCGGTTCTCTTTCCACCATGTGGGTCTCAGGGACTGAACTCAGGTCAGGCACCTTTACCTGCTGAGTCATCTCACCAGCCCTGTTTTGTTGTTGTTGTTTTGTTTTTGTTTTTGTAGACAGGGCCTTGTTAAGTTGCCCAAGCAGGCCTTGAATTTGTGTCTTTCTGCTCCAGCCTTCTGAGTAGCTGGGATCACAGGAACGCATCACTGTATCTGGCTTGTGCAATACTCTACACAAGCCACGATTTAACCCTACCCCAGAGCTGGAGAGGCAGTGTGCTGGTGTGTTTACTCCTGGGGACCAGCACTTCCTGTCTTGCCACTCAGCATCCATGGGGGTGGGGGTGGGGGTGAAGGAGAAAGAGTGTTCACAGGGTGAACCTGGGCACATCAGCAGAGGCCTCTCCTTGCTCCAGGCTGTCCCAGGCCCCGAAGGAGGTTTCTCACAGGCAGAGAAGGCATGCGTTAAACCCCAGGGACAACCCTGGCACCTGTATGGCCCATAGTCAATGGTTCTCTTGGTGGGACCTGGAAGGGGGACCGGGAAGCAGTGTCTCCTTCCTTTCCCACTCTTAACAGCCAGCATGCAGTCCTGCCATGACTGGAGGCTGTGGCAGCAACACTAAGCAACTCTCATTTAGTCCCTCAGCTATTCTGGTGAGGGGGCTACTGCACCTCCATTTACAGAGGGAAAACTTGCCCTCTGCACTCAGTGCTGGGAGTCAGGTGTGTCTGCTTGAAGCCTGGGCACTTCCTACTCTGCCCATAGCGTCCCTGGCCTGAAGGGCAGACTCAGGCTTGAGGTGAAAGGGCACCTGGGCCACCTGAGGTTGCTTCATGCTTGACCTACACCGCATCGGTTCCCAACCACCTGCTTCCGCTAAGAGCAACTTCTGATAGGCTCACACTAGGAGAAGGCTGGTGGGGCATGGGTTTTATTTCTTTAGTAGTGTCGAAGACGGAGCCCAGGGCCTTGCACATGCGAGGCAAGCATCCTAGCTCTTGCAGTTTTAAGATATATATACATATGTCTCACTATACATCCCCAGCTGGCCTTGAATCCACCATCCTCCTGCCTCCATTTCTTGAACACTGGGATTCCAGACCCGTGCCACCATGTCCAGAGGTGTAGTCATTCACAACACTGCAGCTGACAGCAGGGTGTAGTAACTGAAACAGGCCACTAGAGGGAGTGCAGGGCCCACTCCAGCGGAGAGTTGGGTTGGTGAACATTTCCTCAGCAGTACATAGCTGTCTGTGTGTGTACTTCTGATAGGTCTATCATACCACATTAAGCTACGCAATTAAATTAAACCTGTGTTAGCATACCAACATAATGACATAATGACTATAAATGAAAACAGAACTACAGATTATTGAGGCCCCTTGACTAATCCTACAGTTACGTCCCTGAAAAGTATTCAAAGTAGAAGCGCTTGCTGTGCCTGTCCTACCAAGGATCAGAGAACCTTGGCACAGAATACCTGCCACGTCATCTCCCCTCATGACGGCAGAGGCTGGAGTTTGGAGATACAAAATGTCGTTAGACCAAGGAGAGAGTCAAACTCAGAACTTAAAGGAGAGTTTCTACCACATATACATCTCTGGCTCTTCCTTACTCTGTGGCAGCTCCGCCTCAGTCATTCCCACATCTGCCCTGGTGTGAGGCAGCAGGGAGCCCCATCTGGAGGAAGTAACACACAGCTTGGACTTTCTATCTACACACCACAGTAACACTGAAAACAAAAATCTTAAGATGACACATTATTATTTTGAGGTCATCTCTAAGTATAGTAACAACACAATTAAAAGTTATAATAAGAGAATTGGGTCTTGGTTTTCTCCCAGGCTGATCAGATGGGGATCCTAGTGACTTTGTGCTCATACCAGCCTAAAAGGGGCGGGGCAGGGAAGCAGGGGCTGTAGGCCAGGTGTGGCTGTCCAGGAACCTCTGTGCTAAAGCTCTCTAAGGAGGGACTCTGGGCTTTCTGGTCCAGTTCCTGCACCTTTCAGATCTCAGCCAAGATCTCGGGCCAATGGCCTGATCACTGCAGCCCTCCCCAGTGCCCTCCTCTCTGTGGACGCCTGTCCCAAACATAGTGCCCCAGTCTGCCAGAGGCTCCATGAGCCTTGCATAGGGGTAGCACACAGGGATGCCCAGGAAGTATCTGTAGACTGAAGGCAACAATCAGTCTCCCCACCGATAAACTGTCACTATTCTATTGATAGAGTCTGCCACGAGGAGGGGCTCCAGCCCATACCCTCAGGCCTCTTCTCAGTCAGATAAGGCCACAGCACAGGCTGCTGTAGCCTTTGAGGAAGTGGGTGGCCTGTGGGAAGCTGTTGTTGCATGTTCTTGATGGCTTTGAGAAGAGGAGCACATCACAAGGCCAGTAGGGGTGCTGCCCTCAGAAGGGGCAGGAAGTTCTCCTGGTACCACAGTTCCTGCGAGACCCTCTGCATGGTTAATGCTGTCAACGTGGCAGGATCTGGAATCCCCTAGCAGACACACCTGCGGGCATGTTGTGAGGGTGTTTCCAGACAGGTTCAACTGAGGCAGGAAAACGCACACTGAATGTGGATAGCACCATGCCACAGACTGGTGTTCTGGACTAAATAAAGGAAGAAAGTGAGCCAAGCACCAGCTCTCTCTGCTTCCTGACTGCAGACGCAATGTGACCAGCCCTCTCATACTCCTGCCTCCATGATTTCTCCTTGGCGATGGTCTATACCCTTAAGCCGTGAGCCAGAATCAACCCCTGCTTCCTTAGTCTAATTTTGTTAAAGTAATGAAAAGAGTAACTAATATGCCTTTTTTATTTGCATAAATGGCCCCTCCCATCTCTGGCTCTTCCTTACTCTGTGGCAGCTCCGCCTCAGTCATCCCCACATCTGCCCTGGTGAGAGGCAGCAGGGAGCCCCATCTGGAGGAAGTAACACACAGCTTGGACTTTCTGTCTCTGAAATTTATGAGCTAATAAAACTCTTTCATTTCTAAGGTAACCCTGCCTAGGCTATTTCATTATAGTAACTGAAGAGATACTGTAGAGCCACCCATAAATTCCTAATATCTTTCCTATCTATTGTTTTCAAAGACATCAGCCTCGAACATTAGGATACACCCTGTCCCACTGCTTAAGCCAGAGTGAGTCAGGAACCAGGCACTTCTAGTCATGTGTTTTCTATGTGATCAATTAATCTGATACACATCTGTGCTCACTCTCATATGGTCCCCCACACCTCCAGCTTGTGCTGAGGCAGGTTGCCCAGAGGCACTGCACAGCTGTCTCTCTGGTTTGGTGATTTCATTTGTTTCAGTGGGATTTTCCACCTTTTTATAAATAGGTTGTAAATCTAAACGCCTGGGCTATCTGTGGAAAATAGCTAAACTACAAAACTTCAGGACTGGCAAACAACAGGTCAGTCTCAGTTCCATTATTTAGAAGTTGATTAGATTTGGTTAAGGGCTGGCTCCCAGGTGGAGGAGGCAGATGCTGGCTATGGTCACCTGGGAAGCAGGCGAGGAGAGACAGCTGCTATCAACATGCCCAGCTGGCAGGGGTCTGCTCAGAAGGATGCTACTTCTAGAGCATTCTTTGGAAACTGCCTTTGCTCGAAGGAGCAGCCAAGACATCAGAGGGCTGGTGCCACCCCAGAATGGGATTCTCAGACCAGGTTCCAGTTCTGAGCAGTCTGGGGGTACGACCCCAGCTTGAAACATTAGAAGGGCTATTGAAATGATGA